GAGCCCCAACCCAATCTGCCCCCCCCCCCTGTGGTCATCCCTCCCCCAGAGGAGAAGGATGAACCAAGGGTGGGTAAGATCCATGCATCCGAGGACGACAGTTACAAACCAAGGTTCGCTGCTACTGTAACATTACCGACCTTTGGTGCGGCTAACACCGATCCTCCAGTCGGGCAGCGCAAGAAGAAGAAGGGTCAGAAGGGGGGATCAGGATGTATCCTAGATCCCCACATGAATCTATCCTTAAGCGTCCCAGAACCAGGTTCTGGTCACTCCAAGAGGCTCAAGAATAATGAGGCAGTGGCAGTGCCGCAACAGAACTCCCTGGAATACGAACGGTAATGCCAAAATCATTCTCCTACTCGTAAGAAAAGGCTACAGTCCCTCAAACAGACAAGGAAATCGCTGAGCTTTGCGGTGCCTATGAAGACAGTATCTAGAAAGGAAAAGAATGCCAGAAAAATATCACAACTTCTGATACCTCTTATCTGCTCCAAAATGGACTCGGAGGCTGGGATCCTGGTTCAGAAAAATCAGAGCGGAAACAACAGCCTCCCGTCCATCCTGATCCAGTCCCAAACCGAGGACAATGAAATAATCAGTATAGTTAACTCAGAGGTCCTAAAGGGGATAGGGGAGGTGAAAGCCCCCCTGCTGTTCAATGGGAGAAGCCATGCGATCTCAGCAAGCACAAAGGAGGTAACCCTGTTACATATTGCAGTATTGAGCCTAAACTCGTGGTCCCCTGACACAAACAATCTAGATGTACAACCTCTGTGCTGGTTGGGCCTTTTCCCACTGTTGGCGGCGCCTGCAACCGAATTCGCGAAGTTATCAATCACACCTGGCCTCTCTGCCAGCCACATTGCAGACTGGCTTACGGGTTCTGAGCTTCAAGATTCCCTAGTCACTGTAGTCAGTGAGGAAATTCAGAACAAACTTCACCCTTTTGACATTCCACGATGTGTCTCCCTGACAGCCCTTGACCGCATCCAGCTTAATAGCAGCAGTGACCTCACTGATGGTCTTGCCAAACAGGATTAAGGTGGTTAGCTGGAATATCAGAGGGTTGGGAGAAACCTCAACCGGGAAAAAAAAACAAGATTCAGAACCTGGGCACGAAATGACAACCCACACATCATATGCCTGCAAGAAACGAAGCTGAACTCAGAAAAAATAACGAACAACAACAGATGGTGGTTTGGCCCCCAATTCCAGACACCAGCGGACGGAACAAATGGAGGGGTGGCTATCCTAATCCACAAGGACCTACAGGTTCAGGTTCTTGACTCCTATCATGACCCTGGGGGTAGATGGATCTGGGTAAAGCTAGCAGTGGGTGACGAGGATTGGGCCGTTATAACTATATACGCCCCGGTGGAATACGCTGAAAGAATTAATTTGTTTGCCACACTGTCGGCTTTCATCCCAGACGTGGAAAACTTAATCATAGCAGGTGAATGGAATGCCACCCTCAACCCGGATCTAGACTCCCCCCATCCAACCCCCATCCGCGCTGACGCCACAATGCTATCCTCACTTATGGAAGCACAATGCATGACAGACGTCTACCGAACACTTAACCCCGATTCTCCGGGCCATACGTGGTATGAACCCAAGCCAGCCCCCCTATTTCCCCTCCTAACAGGAGACTGGATCTGATTTTGGCAAGAGGGGTGTTGTGGGACCGTTGCTCCTGGTGCGATATTCTGAACGAACACTTGTCGGACAACTGCCCCGTGGCTATGGAAGTGTTAGCCAAAGAACAGTTCGAAAGGGTCAGACCCCCTTTCCGACTCAACACATCCATCCTCAAGGATCCAGGAATTCCGAACTGGGTCAAGGACCAAATGAAGAGATGGATGGATGCCAAAGACCTATTCAATAATGAACAAGCCTGGGCAGAAACAGGCCTAGGCATCCTCACGGCTGCCCTCAAAACCTTTTCAAGAATGAAGGCTGCGAATAGAAACTGGATTGAAAATTGCATCAAGAAAGCGATAACTGAAGTTGAAAACAACATGGGAAAGGACCCCTTCTCAGACCACTACTGTTCCAAGAAACATCTAGAGAGTATAGTGGCCCTGGCAGCACTAGAACTTAAGAGTCAAAAGGACCGACTCAACTGGCTAAAGATCAGAGCACTGGTAGGCTTTGACAAGATGACCAAGGAGACTTTTAGATCCCTCGTCCTTAAACAAGACAAGACACCCCTCAGAGAATTATGCCATCCCTTCAATCATCAAGAACCCTTGGCATCCAGCACTGAGGAAATGTGTAAATATGCCAAGGATTACTTTATGGACATTGTCTCCACTAGGAGACCACAAGATGAGTATGACAAAGATCTCTCGGCAATATCTGAATTTTGGAGTGGTATCCAGACATCAGTCCCCCCTACTGCAGAGACTCACTAGAGCAACCTTTCACCTCACAGGAACTGCTGCAGGCAGCCAAGAAAATGGCAACAGGAAAATGTCCAGGCATTGACGGTCTGCTCATTGAGCTGTACCTTAGTGCCTGGGAAACCTTCGCCCCTTTTCTGTGCCAAATTTTCAATGGCACACTCACTTCCAGAGAGCTACCTAAGAGTTGGCTAATAGGGGTGATATCTCTCCTCTACAAAAAAGGGGACAAGAGGGAAGTGAGAAACTTTCGCCCCATCTCGATACCCAATGTTGCGTATAAAATTCTTGCCACGGCCCTAGCAATGAGGTTGGCAGATGCCCTACCGGACCTGATAGGCATAGAACAACGGGCATTCATCAAGGGCATATCCATATTTGACAATATTCTATCAACCATCCAAGCATTAGAGGTGTTGGTCGAAGAACAACTAAACGTGGCGGTACTCCTCTTAGATATGGAAAAGGCCTACGACAAAGTGGGGTGGGCCTTCGTTTTCACCTCCTTGACTAAAATGGGCTTTGGGAAAAACTTCTGCACTTGGGTAAAGGCCATGTACACAGAGGCCACATCAATGGTAATAGTAAATGGACGCCTCTCCCCTAGCTTCCCACTGTCGCGTTCCCTCAGACAAGGGTGCCCCCTAGCCCCCTATTATTCGTACTACAACTAGAGGTCCTGATGCACAACATCCACAGCAATAACGCCATAGCAGGACTCAGCATCCCCCATTCCATACAATGGAAAGGGGGCGCACTAGCAGACGACCTCACCGTCGCCTGCGCCAACAAGCCTTCTTCCTTCCACGCCCTGAGAGACGTCCTTAACGAGTACTGTCACTTGTCGGAAGTCTCCATCAATTGGGAGAAGTCCGCTTTCCTACTCCCAGACCCCTTTGAGATATGTGTGGATTGGGGTCTCAAAAAAGTCCCATCGAATAGCTC